GTTTCAAAATGTATCAACTTTGCAGGGATAAATTAGAGCGTCTAAATAAACGTAATGTTAAGTCGATATGTTTATTTTATGAAAATAATAATGCCATTAATTTTTGTAAAAACTGGTTACTTATGTATCAAGTTATGTATCCCTTTATATCGTCTATTATCGGCTAAAAGTGCCCGCGCCAACTTTGATGTCGGATAGTGTCTAAACGGCTTGTGCTAGAACCATCAAATTTGGTGACTTTTCCTAACATACCGTGCTAAATTTTGTAATTTTTGCTTAAACAATAGAATTTCATGGGTTTTATGTCAAGTTACACATGTTTAGTAGTACACCATTCTCTGAAAATTTGGTGGTCATACGATATACCGTTCGCGAGTTCTGGGGGGGGGGCGAATTTCTGGCTGAAAAGACACATATTTCGCCCATTTTCTCTCATCAATCATGATTTCAAATAGCCTAATTGATGCGGCTGTCTCCCCATCAATTAGGCTATTTAACACCTCCATGAGAAACAATTACAAGTAAGCCGCATTTGTATGTCAATTGTTGTCCATGCGCAGTTCTGTGTCGAACACTCTGGTTTTCACTTGACCCTATTGTTAACTAAAGGACACAAAATGACACGAAAAGACAGTTGCAAATGTCAAAAGTCGTGATCGCTTGTTCAGGTTTACTAAAAAAAGGTTTTTTTTTCAAAGTTTCTCACAGGGAGCATGTCTTTTTTCTACCTGCATGTTTGTACCATGTATGATCCAAGCAATTTGCAAGGAGTTTTTGTGTTTTTCTGATGTTCTGAACATGTAAATATCAGATCTATCGATAGTATATAGTACATTTTAACAACTCGCTGTGTATTTCACAAAGGCTATAAAACCAGGTACCTTGTCCACGATATTACAGATGTATAATTAGCTGCTAAAGAAACATGTACTTTTCCAAGTTTTAGGTTCTTTGATTTTTTAAGACTCCGGTTTCGTTAATAATATCCTTGATAATGCAGCGCCATTTTGCAAAATGGTTCAAACCAAACGATACAACTGTAGAAAATGCGTTCACAGAGCCTTTGGTTAAGTTGTGCTTCGCTTGATTAAATTCAGACTTGTTTGCTGTTATTTAGATTATTGTATTTCCCTGTCAGATTCTTATTTGCTCTCTTTTGAATTCAAGGCTATAAAAAGACTTCGCTTCCTACGCCCATCTATTGTGACCACTGTAATATTCTTCTCTACTGATTTAACCAAAGAGAACAAACTTTGACGACGTTGTCATTTAAAACGTTTAATCTTCGCAGTGTTACAATATATCCTCACTCTTCTTTGCGATAACACCGTAACGTCTCTACAACATATACATCCAAGGAAAGTCGTGTAAAGTGCCTTTCCCAAAGGCATAAGATCGGTGACATGGGCAGGATTCGAACCCGCGACCTCTTGGGTTTGAGCTAGCTATATAGCGACTGCGTCACACGACGCCACACATTGTAGACGTATCTACGTCTATCCAACGTACCTCTAAAATACGACATTTTTGACAAGGGAATAATGCTCCAAACGTGATTACAACTTATGTCCCGCTTCAAAGCAGCGTTTATCCTTTTATATTTCACCAACCAGAAAATTGCCAAGTGGGAAACGGAGAATCTTACCGAGGAACAGTCTCTGTGACCGCCACAGGCAAGACGTGTCAGCGTTGGGACAATCAGACAGTCCATTGGAGCGGCCATACACCTGAGAATTACCCATCATCCGGACTGGAGCAGAACTACTGCCGGAATCCGGACGGTGATTCAGGAGTGTGGTGCTACACCACGGATCCCAACACAAGATGGCATTACTGTGACGTACCAGTATGTGGTAAGGTCTGATTCTGTATCCTTCGATAAGAGCCGATGTTCGTAACTTCTGCGTTAATGATCAATTTTCATCTAAACGCTGTGTAACACACAGCGCTTATTGATACCTCTCGTTTTAAATTCATCCAACCAGAAAATTTTCTTGATACACATGTACCTCTTTTTTTAAATTCCACCATTCAGCAAATTGTCAGGCGGTAGATCCGGCATCGTACCGAGGAACAGTCTCTGTGACCGAAACAGGCAAGACGTGTCAGCGTTGGGACAGTGGTAGACACCCCTATACACATGGGAATTACCCGTCATCCGGACTGGAACAGAACTACTGCCGGAATCCGGACGGCGAACCCAGAGTTTGGTGCTTCACCACGGAATCCACCTTGTCATGGGAGTATTGTGACGTACTATTATGTGGTAAGTTCTGAACTTTTTAACCTTTGACATAAGCAGATCTTTGTCACTTCTAGTCTATGTTAATGATCGCCTTTTTACAGTACTTTACATTGCCCTATATATCTTCTTCTCGACATTATAATGTTTTTATGTAATTTTTTTTCAATTGATAACTTGTTTTTTGATACTAGTATTTTATTATGTCCTGACCAGCCTACATCTACATAAGAAACCCGTTGTCCACCTACATTTTAAACGACCCTTTTTATGGCATTTTTGCAGCATCCATCGTCATCCCAGACGTAACGTTTGTTAAATATGCGAAATTGTGACTCGGAAATGATGCCATATATATTTAAAACAATTGCAATATAAAACCGTCGCCCACTAATGACAATACTTTCTCACCTACTTTTTTGTAGAAAATGAAATTTCTCCGACATTGGAAGCTGTTTCCGGGGGGACACTTATCGGCGGGGGAACCTATGGGTGCAACCACGACTACATGTACGGTGAGAATCAGCCGTGGTGGACGGTGGACCTGGGAGGCAACTACACTGTCAGTCGGATCAGCCTTCTCAACAGGGCTGACTGCTGTAAGTATGTGGTGACAATATGTTGGATCTATATTATGTATGACCGCAATTCGGCGTAACACACCAGCTTCACAGGCACGCGGTGCGGCGGCATCTGGTTATATTACAGTAAACGACCTCTCACAAGTGTTACACGCGTTGTTTATTAATGAAAGCCATTTACATGTAGAAAGGATACCTACTGTACATGGTGGCAACAAGTTAGATTCTAGTTACAATAGTTGCAATATTTATGTACACGTGTCAAAAATACGGGTGCAAAATATGTTCTACCCTTTCCGATTAGTTCATATCACGAGTAGGATAAGATAAGTGACGACGACGTTCAGCCTTCCACGAACACGTCACTCTTCAGTGTATCAGATGTTACTATTTTCTGTGTACGTATCGATAACTTGGTTAACGATCTATGACTGCTGGTAAAACATGAGTCGTGACTATGGTAGGGCGACACCTGGCGACAGATGAAACAGGGTACAGGGTACATGGCGTCGTCATGTCATTTGAACCCAACATCACATGTAGCATGAAGTACGTAACTATGGTAATTCATCTGTATGAAGGTAAGGTGTCTGACACTGCTAGGACGTGGCGGGAAGATCTGCGTTGCAGACGGGATTTCCAAGCGGAGGACGGCAGCCCGGCAGAATGCAACCCTGACAGTCTTTGGGGATGCTGCTCCGAGTCCTCCTGGTGCGGCTACACCACAGACCACTGTGACTGTTATTATTGTATAGACTACAGGAGCAAAGGTGAATAGGAAATAGCTAGAAACATGATCATGACAGTTTACCTGTGCAGTTAAAGGTCTATGTGGCATCATTTCCATGTCGAAAATACGGGCTTAGTTCACATTCGTGTGGCATAAAATACCTGACAGTTGGTTTACCGCGAACATGACTTATTTTCTGTTCATGTGTGAATTCCTTGCTTATATATAAATCATACAACGTTATAATAGCGTTAATAATTATTTGCCCTCTTCCCAGGTGTACGGCTGGCATCGAATCCGTCGTGGGTTGTGGACTCCACGGGCAGACTACGTGATGCTGCAAACGCCTTGGATGGGAACATAAGGACCTACTGGAACAGCGAAGATACTCCCCGGTACCACAACAACTGGTACATCATCCTGGACCTCCGAGCGCCCACGACTCTGATCCGCATCGGAGTCAACAACTACGGAGACACCACCCATGACACTGCCGCCTTCAGACTGCAGAAGTCTCTGGTTGGAGCTCCGTACAGCTGGGAGGATGTCACGTCCGTCTATAACGTGCAGGCCGGGACGGACCAGAGCCAAGTGTTCGGCGAATTCCGAGAAACAGCTCGGTATTGGAAGTTTGTGGTCACTCGGACTCACGAAGGCTACCAGCCATGGCTCTCAGAACTGAACCTATACAGAATCTCTGCAGGTAAGTGCCAGGAAGTTGATAACGGCCGCCGTCTCTGAGTGACGGTTGGTGTTTGCACCATGTTAGAGTACAACGGAGCGTATTTTGAGGGGATTCTGTCGCGTGAAGCGAAGGTCTTGACTAAGGCTTCATTCCCACAAGGATAAAATTGCCCGGATCGAGCCGAATAGATTCGCTTTGAGCCGGCTTCGAGTCAGATTGAGCCGGATCGAAGTCAGATCAAAGCGAATCTATTCGGGCAATTCTATCCTAGTTGGAATGGGGACTAAGGTGTTCAAGTTGCTAGGACGTTGCCAAGGGGGTGGCGTCAGGGTCGGTCCATTACCTTCTCGTTGCTATTGATATTCTAATGTATTGTCTGTTGCTGTCTTTTATTCGCATGCAGCCCAGAGGCAACAGAACTTCATGGTGCGAGTCGGCCCGAGCCTGGAGGAGAGATCCCGTCTGAACGAGCAGTGCGGAGAGGCCTACATGGACACTCCGCTAGATGGGCAGACCATCGAGGTGGCCTGCGACCCGCCGATTTCCGGGCGGTATGTGTCCATACTGCTGGTGGAACCGTCGGACGCCTTAACACTGTGTGAGGTGGAGGTCTACGGTACCAGTTGAAATACACATCTTGCATCTGGCCTCTGGTAGTAGAAATGTTGCGTTGCTTGGGCTTTGTCATCAGTTTATATTGCTTACGGCTTAAAACGAATATGCCATCACTACTTTACGTTTCCTCAAGTTTAAATGTTAACAAAAACAACACCCTGATCACACGTTTTACATAAGAAACTGTCGCCATGTGTGTCTACATAGATCACCTACTTTTATCACCATTATGATGTCCCGTTGTGTTGTAGGTTGTGAAAGAATGCATATCCAGAGTTTTTGTTGTAAAATGCATTTTGTTATAAGTGGAATACAATATTGCTAGCAACTTGGTCAGGATAATGGGAGCCGTAAAAATTACGAGAATGGCATTTAGGCTAATGAAGCAAGGAGGAGAAGAATAGGTGCTTCTTTGTTTTATGTGTTCAGTTGTACATTACTATTAAATGTATGTATCAGAGATGTATTCATGTATTTTTCAGTTTTTCTATTTGTTGGCGTCAGCGTTGCACCGGCCAATAATATTTAACGTCGAAACTCCAACAGAATCTGACAACAAAACATCTAATGCCCGATGATAAAGTCCACAAAATATCTAAGCTATTACAACTAAGACATGGTGCCGTGTAGGGTATTAGGTGTCGTAGATATCGACGCCTTTGCCTTGGTCCAACAAGCATGCCTCTCTGGAGCGCTTCCCATATAGAATGAGGACAGGGCAAAGAGCCAGTACTGGTGCTTTGGAATGCATACTTCATTATCAGCTAAGGCTCAAACGAAATTAGTTTGGCAAAAGAAAGTACGACGTCAGGAAAAGCATTTATGGAAAATTCAATAATGACTTTCAATACATCGCTGATAGGCTCCTTAATTACGTCCTGATTAACTTAGGTCAGTTTCAAAGTGAAGCTATGTTTTTCGTAAACATTATGTTATGAAGTTAAGTGCTTGTAGAGTTCCTCCTGACATAACAAGCAGGAATCTTCAGACGTTTTGTAGGACTGTCCGCTACTTTTCTCGGGGCGACATTGTCAGAAGAACTCTGTACCAACTGAAGCATTTCATTTGCGAACGACCTTCGTGGCCATTGATTTTTATCATAACTTATTAACTGTCCATTCAAGTCCATTGTAATCAGTAGTAACAAGATTGGCAAGTGGAGGACCCATGCATGGCATGGGCACAACGACTTGTTGTCGCCCAAGTTAACACCTTTAGATTTGTTTGAATTTGTATGTGCGTGTGTGTGTGTGTATATGTGTGTGTGTGTGTGTGTGTGTGTGTGTGTGTGTGTGTGTGTGTGTGTGTGTTAGAGAGTTCGGTAGCCTCTACCAGGCACCGTGGATTGTTGGAAAAATAGAAGAAATTGACCAAATAAAGGATAGTATACCAGGGGAGTTAGCCGGCCAGAGAAGATCCAATTTACGACCCACGGATATTTTCTACTATTTTTCCAGCGATCCGCGGTGCCTGGTAGAGGCTATGAGTTCGGGACATCTATATAAAGTACGTTGCCATTTTGAATAAATATTAAACATTCCTGCTCCTGAATGTGGTTTATGATGTCGACGAAAAAGATGACGTATCTTACGTTGGAATTTTGTACATGTGCCTCACTTGAAAGCAGCTGTGTGATTAGATGCTGATTAACCCACCCTGACTGTATAAAACAGAAATAAATACATGCATTATTTTCCACCTTCCTGTAATAATTTTTGCACATTTTAACAGTTTTATGGAACATTTATTGACGTATTCCGGTAAAAGGTCTTGACCTTTAGTGTCCATTTACTCTGCAAATGACGACATATGGACACCCCACTAGATGAACAGACCACCGTCGCATACTGGGTACCAGAAGCCTTGTGTGGCCTCAAAAGCCTAGTGTGATCGTCAGTAGGCAAAGGGCATGGCATAATAAAATATCTTGACCTAGATTACAGGACAAACCACTATACAGGCATATCAAAGCCGAAAGTGCCGCTACAGTACCTGAGAAAGCCGCTAGAATGCCCATCATCGAATCAAGAAACAAATTACTATGTAAATATATATATACACCCACAACATCAAAAATTATCCCGTTTTGTGTATTTCCACCAAAAAGGCCCCCAAAACAGCACGTTCGCTGAACGCAAGGTACCTCAAAACTCATGACCATAGCATGTTCAGGTTAAAAGAATCGCCTGCCCTCCGTGGTGTACCTAACACATAACCCCCTCGACGAAGGTAATTACTAGGAAAGGCTCGCTGGTTGATTTAATCACGACCAAGGACAGGTTCCTTGTCACTGGCCTAATCACCGTGTGCACGTTTTGTTGTCATTTTCCCACTCATTTCACTTCATTTTTCGAACAACATTGGCATGCATTAGCGTTGTCAAGCATGGTAATGAAGTAACTATGTCCATGATAATCAGTTGTTACAAAATTGTTGCTTCTCATTCATTTGCGCACATTTTTGGTGACCATGATTGGCTTTGTCGTGGAAGTCAATTATTTGTATGGTAAAAGCTGTACCAAATAAACAACTGAACAGATCGAGACAAATACACCCACACTTGGCGTCCAAGTGGACACTGACTCACTACCAAGTTGGTACACCGGCAGGCGTATCAACACATCGTGAGGTTTGCCTGCAGAATTCTTCATCTTTTTTGTGTTAAATTTGGGTCAATTATGATTCATAGTGATATTGATAAATACGCAGATATTGCATATGATTTGGGCTTACGATAAAGCAGACGGAAAACACACGGATATTGTAATTTGTACTCAGGGCTATAGTTGAAAATTAAATAAGACTTGAGGATTGTTCGATCTGTTTTCATAGATCTGGGTCATAGATCTATTGGGTATTGCCCTTTGATAAGTACGTACCAGGTATTCCATATTCCTAATTTTGATTACGATGTATTTTAAGAGGAGAAGGAAAATGTAATGTTGTGGTAGAGCCTCAGCCTCGAAATCAGCCGTGTGATTAGACACTAGAGCCATCCTGGCTGAACAAGACAAGACAGGGGTCACAGCAAAAATGGATCCTTTGCAATTTCTGTCTTTGTTTGAATTGTGATGATTTTTTAACACACCGTCAAAGTTAAGAGCAGAAACAAAGAGATTACACAAACGGACATTAAATTATTCTCCCTTTATCTAAATCAGGGAGCGGCAGATTTATTGCAATTTATGTTCCTCTATCTCTTCAATCTACTCTCTGATATAGAATGGCGGGAAAGTGTGTGGTAACCATGGTGATGGTGACGAGTCTTGTCTGTCTTCTGAGAGACCAGACCGGCGTGTCGTCTGCACCAATGGAACCTGAATCAGAAGGTACTTACAGCTTTTTCAGGTATCATTTCTTATCGAAATGGGTGGGTTTCATAATTTAGGGCTTTGGGAAATGACAACTCGCGAAAGAATGGAATTATTTTTTTATGATTTTAACACTGTAAGTAGCTTTAATAGTCGGAGATAGCATAACTGGGCAAACCTTCTAGTGCTTCCCATGGAAGAAGTTCCCAACATATAACACTTGTAGAATTAGTGGAAAATGAACAGATATCGATTATACAGATGAACTTTTTCATGATATTGTTTATGTTCAAGTTAGATAAAGATGAGCATGGTTCACCACAGACTAGGAGGCTATAATAGCGCTCTATGCTAGGATAGGACTGTCATGCCTGGGAAATTTGTGATTTGAATGAAGGCGATTATCAACTGAGGTGATTCATGCAGATAAGGCATTTATTTAAATAATATACCCTACTATGTTTGAACTTGAGTACAGGTTATATTTTCATAAATCTAAATCATATATGCAACTAAAACTAACGTGGGCGCAGTGGTCGTTAAGCATATTTCCTGTTTACAATGCAGTATACATGGTTTAATAAGCGTGTGATATACCGAAAGTATAAAGAATTAAACAAAAGGAAATGTTCAAGCATTAAAATCACTGCATCCATTTAACATTTCTTTGGGAAATGACAACTATGATTTTAACACTGTACATAGCTTAGTTGGAGATAGCATAACTGGGCAAACCTTCTAGTGCTTCCCATGGTAGGAGTTCCCAACATATAACATTCGTAGAATTAATGGAGCATGAACAGATGTCGATTATGCAGATGAAAATTTTCATAATATTGTTTATGCAGAAAATACAAAAATACAATAGTGGTAAATGATGGGAATTTCATACCTACAGCATTTTCAAGTTAGATGCATGGTTTACGAGTTAGGCGTGTGAATTAAACAAAAGGAAATGTTCAAGCATTAAACTCACTGTATTCATTTAACATTTCTCAACCTGAACGTTAGGCCTCCACAATCTAATGGTAACCGTGAACAGCAAAACACCTTCTTTACACCGTAGTTTGTGAAAACGTCTTCCAAAGACTTCATTGTCCTGATCGGTTTCTATGTCAATTCTGATTTGTAGAGAAGCTCCAGATTGATGAAAGGTTTCTTGAAGTCGAGATAAGCATGCGGCAAATGCGGGAGACAATGACTGCTTTCAAAGGTACGTCAGCTTTCATCGGTGGGAAGTTTTTGTTGTATGACTGTCAATTTGTCTTTTTTAATGTCAAAGTACACTTGATTTACGAAAATCTATTTGTAACGCGCATCATATATTTTGTGGAGAAACCTTTTCGGGATTGTTCATAGTTGAGCATGTTTCAAATCAATCTGAGCAAGTGTGGAAAGTGGAACTTGTAGAGTTCTCTCAACTCTATACGAAAATGACAATTGTATATTGTATATCATTATATATATGTGTGTGTGTGTGTTTGTGTGTGTGTGTGTGTGTGTGTGTGTGTGTGTGTGAGAGAGGGAGAGAAAGAGAGGGAGAGATAGATAGATGTATATATATAGATGTATATCTTTCTAAATCAACAAACAATTTACAGGCATGCTCGGTAACCTTGGCTCGCGAGTCGACACCCTAGAGCGTAAATTCAAGAAGAATCAGGAGAAAGACACGAGGGAGAAAAACGACATTTGGGAACG